ACCCTGCCACTTCTTCCTCTCCACCCCTTCCCTGTTTTTGCGGTTTTCAAGCTTAAATACTGACCCCTTGTCAATGCCCGGCACGCCTCTTTGCACCTTGCATAGAGACCGCCGCTGGGTACCAGTTAAAATAAAGCGCTTCTTTTAACTTTTGGACTTGCTTCCTTGTCATTTGATTTTTGAGCTACAACACTGGCCACGGTAAACATTATGTCAGCAATCGTATCAGCAGTTTGTACTGTGCATTTACCTCAGTGCCTTTCCGGTCAGTGAGGGTAACACTTGTGGTGGTGAGAGAGGAAACCACCTCCTAGGGTGAAATGGGTTAACTGTGTAGCTTAAGTGTTGTACGTTACAGGTCGGTGCCAAAAGAAACGAGGAGAAGACCTGATGAATGTAGCTTCAGAGGTCTCACTGAGACTAGTCTCTCTCAAAGTGAGCCCCCCCCCCCCCAGCCTCGGAAGCATCTCACATTTATTGAGGGGTAAAGGCAGGCTAAGGAATGTGCATAATTACCTAAGTGAATGCAAGTATCTCTGTTGACTTCCACCAGTTGCCTAACACTAGGTCCACACAAATGCTAGCCAATAACATCCCAAGCAAGGGATCAAAGGACAGGGCGCCTGCAGGAGAAGTTATTATCTGCTACATTGGGTCCCAGCCTGCCCGGAATTTGCAAACAGACAGCAACCCTCCTGGGGCTCAGTCCATTGTTCCCTGCTTTCTTGGGATATCAGGCTTTTGTCTCAAATCTATATCTCTACAGCTAAGCTCCCCAAGAAAGCTGGTGGCTATGGCCACAGCGATGTACAGGTACAGCTGTAATGTAATGGCAGTGGAGCATAATGGCCCTGTGAAATCCTGTCAGTTGCCCACTCCCCTGACAGCTGCTCTGCTGCTGCTGCTTTAATCATTCACTTGGCATGCTCAATGATGAGAAATTTCCCTATAGAAACAACATAAAAATAAAAACAAAGCCTTGCTCAGGGCTCTCGGGAGAACATAAATCCCCTGTGGAAAAGCCAACAAAGAAGCCCTTTTCTCCTGCTCCATTTCTGAACAGCTTTATTAGGGATCCCATTTATCTCCAGCTTTTGTAGAAGAAGCCAGAGTGAAAGGAGAATCACTTCTCTTCACTTGGAGAGGAAGCTCACCTTGTGAATCTCTGCACGTTCCACATGGCGGTGTCTCTCTGCTTGTGTGCACACTTCCCACACTGGTGCAGGTAGCAGGCATCAGTTTCTCATGAACAGAAAAATGAGACCAGCAGGGAGAACTATCTGTAGCAGTTCAGCTTCAAGGCCTTTGTAGCAGGCCATTATTCCAAAAAGCTTGACAGTGATTCATCCACTCTGATCTTGAACTTGACTGAATTATACACACATATGCTTAATCCGAATTTTGACTTGTGTCTGACCTTTATCCTAACACCAAATTTAGCTCAGAACTCAACCGCATTCAGACCTTAAGAATGACTTAATAACATCAACTTGACCTTGAAATTGAATCTTGCATTTATTCTAACAGTTTCTGCTTGTGATCCTCAACAGTGACTCTGACCATGGCACTTCCTCACTCTAACATTGACCCTCAGGCAGAATCTTTCACTGGGCCTTCATCCTTAGGCACCTTAATCCCACCAAGACCTTGAATTTGACTTTGAATTTGGCTTCTCAGCATGAAATTGAGGGCGGGCCAAATAGCTCAGTGGATTAAAGCGCCTGCAAGCAGGCACAGAGGCCAGGGGTTCAATCCTCAGGTTTGCTGTGCAGCCCCCCCACCCCCTCGGGCGTGCTGATAAGGCAATTGAGACTGGGTGTGGTGGTGTGTGCCTGTAATACCAGCTCTTGGGAGGCTGTATGCAGGCGGATCACTACAAGTCCAATCTAGTAGTGAGATCCTGAACACCCTGTAGACCCTTCGCTAAAAATACAAAAAAAAGAAAAAAAACTTAAAAAAAAATTTTTAATTAAAAAAAACAATTTGAACTTCACCTTGATAGTGACCCTCACCATTACACTGACCCTCATCTCAAGGCTGATCACTGTCCTAATCCTGATCCATCTCCACCTTGAGCTCAGCCTCTAACCTGACCTTGAACCTAAGCCAGACATTAGCTTCCACCCTAACTCTGACCTTGACCTATAATGACGACAAAATAATGTCACCCCCAAATATGTCCATGTCCTAACCTATGAATGCTGGCTTACAAGGTGCTGTGGTCCACATATGGTTTGAGTATGTCCCTCAGAGCTTCATGTACTGGAGGCTTGGTCCCTAGTCTAGCTATGTTCATGTGGTAGAATCTTTAAGAACTGAAGCCTTGTGGAAAGTGGTTAGGTCACTGTGAGTGCAACCCTCAGGAGAGATTAATATAGTTCATATATGACCCTTCAATCTCCATGAAATCAAGTTATAAAAGAGGAAACCTGGCCCTTGAATCCCTCTACTTAGCTGTCTTCCCATGTAATCTCTTCTCATGTACTCACACCATGATGCCATATTCCATGAGGTCCTCAGCAGAAGACAGACACACAGACTTTCCGGCTCCCAAACTGAGCTAAAAAGACTTCCATTTTTCCATAAATGCTCAGTTGAAGGAATTTTGTCAGAAAATGGACTGATACACGTGGCAAAAAGGAGTTTGTGGATGATAAAGGGTACTGACTTTGAGATGGGAGAATATCCTGGATTATGCACCAACCTAATCACATGCAGAGATTTTTTTTTTTCTAACAAGAGCTTTTCTTGATTGCTTTCAGAGATGAAATAAAAGATGGAGTTAGAGGCCAGAAGCCAGGGGATCCAGATGGCCACTAGGACCTGGGAATGGCTTTCTATTGATGCCAGCAAGAAAATGGAAACCTCATTCTTAAATCCATAAGAAACTGAATTGTTCCAACAACTGTAGTGAGCAAGGAAACTAATTCCGAGAACCTACAATAAGGAATGAAGCCCAGTTAATGCCTTGATTTGAGCCCATTGAGAATCAAACCTGACTTATGACCAACAATGTAAGATAATAATTGTATGTTGTTTTAAACCACTCAGTTTGCCAGTAGTGGTGGTGTACACCTGTAATTCCAGCACTTGTGGTACATAGTTCAAGGCCAGTCTAAACTACACAGCAATACCCTGTTTTGTTTTTGGTGTGTGTGTGTGTGTGTGTGTGTGTGTGTGTGTGTGTGTATTTTTAGTACAGGGTCTACAGGGTCTTACTGCATAGACCCAACTCATAGTGATTCTCCTGTTTTCAGCCTTCCAAGTGCTGGGATGATAGGCACATGCCACCATACCCAGTCTCATTGCCATCTCAGCAAGCCCCAGGGGCGGAGCCAGCAATAGAAGTGTTGTTCTTCTATTGGGCAGCAATAGAAGTGTTGTTCCCTACCCTTCCTGTGGTAGGAATTGAATCTAGGACCTTTACACTGAGCTATAGACCTTTTTTCATTTGAGACAGGAGTCTTGATAAGCACTCCAGCAGAAGTCACAGTGGCATCAAACCTTCCTGTCCTCTTATCCTAGTATCACACACTTGAGTTCCAGCCACCTTAGAAAAGCCCTATCCTATTGATATAGGGGAATGAAACTCTCAACCTGAAAGATACCTGGGATGAGATTGTGTTCGCTAAAACTGAAGAATGAATTTTGGGAACAATGGAGGTTAATAGTAGAATATATTTATTGGGGGAAAGAAAGCTTCTGCCTGAGAGAGGTATGGAAGGGGACCCAAGGCAGTAATCTACCTTTTCTAGGGATTTTTACAGAGCAAAACATTAAGGTGAGGAGGGTATAATGTGGAAAATATGGGAACTCACACATGAGGTGGGACAAAACTATGGTCAACCAGTAAGACTATAAGCACAATTGGGCAGGTAAAATGGATTAAATCTAGGACCAAATGGAAAAGCAAGTCACACAGCAAGGGGGCATGAATATAGAACAGGGCCTTATCCTGTAGGGGGTTGGATTAATGATTCTTCCTGGCTTCCTCACAGTGATTATCAATACCAGATGTTTATCTTTAGGAGGTAAGCATTTGTTTGATCTTTGGTCTTGAGATCTAGTTCACAGCCAGAGTCTCTCCTACAGTTGCAAGGCATCTTATCTTCCATATTGTCTCCTGGAGGGCCCGGCCTCTCTGACGGCCTGTAGTATTTCTGTCCAACTCAGCTGCCTACAACACTATAACCACATGAGGCTCTGGAGGCACATTTAGATACAAGCTGTAACAACAACCTACCCCTAAACTTTACTTTGGTCATGAACTGAATTTGACTTTCACCTTGTCACTGACCCTGACCAGGACTCTTATTCTGATTTCTGCTCCCATACTTGACTTTAACGTGATCTTGAAATTAATGCTGGCCCCAAAACTTCTTTCACACTGAGTTGAATGTGATTCTGACAATGATCGTAGTCGTGACCTCTCTCACTGTATTCCTTCACCAGCAAAACTCTGCCTTTGGACAAAGCACCGTACTCTGAATTTCACCTTCATCATTGTGTCTCTGAACACTGTCATCTCAACAGTGACCCTGATGAATTTGACACTTAACTCGAAGTTCATCCTTACCCCTGATGTGGACCAAAACAGGACCAGAACAGGCTGATGTCCTGGGCTAGTGTCAAGGCCAGAGTAAGTGAGGGCTAGAACCATCGCCAGTGTGGAAGGCTGGGGCTGAGTGAAGGCAAAGCCAAGCCAAAGAAGGAGCATGGTCAGGTTCACCTTCAAGGCAAAGTGGGTGCCAGAGACAGTGACTGCAAAGGTAAGAGACAGGTTTCTGTCAAGGTCAAGGCAAAGGGCAAGGTCAGGCCGACTGTAGCAGCTCTCTACGTAATTTATGGGCGGCATTTAACCCCTGGGGGGGCAAAATGTGCTGTATGGGTGGCGGTTCCCCACGGAACAAAAGCGTTGAGGAACCGGCCGGCAGCCCGCTCTGGCGGAAATGTGGCGAGGTGGGCGGGTTACTATGTGGGGCGGGGCCGGAAGCGGGAAGACTGGCGCAGGGCGTCAGACAGCGGAGCGCGATGGCTCCGCAGTTAGGTCCAGACGAGCTGCTTCACGTGTTTTCCTTCCTAAGGGCCCAAGACCTGCTGTGCGTGGCACAGGTGAACAAGGTGAGGGCCTGACTTGTGGTCACTGATGTGTTCCAAGGCAGGCGCACGACAGGTCTCCTCATCGACGAAAACCGGTCTCCGAGGACGGAAAGCCTTGGAGGAAGCTTGCAGAATGAATGTGGTTTCGTTTTCGGGACTCCCCTGCGCCAGTGCTATGCTTTTAAATGTAGCGCTACTCTGGTCGCTTAACCCTGGCCTTTTCCCTGCGTTTCTTCAGCAGTGGTTGGTGCTCTTCCCCCGAGGCAACCAAGGCCATAGTTATAGTTTTAAGTATATTAAGTGAAGTATTTGATTTCCATTCCATTTTTAGTGATAAGCTGAGTATCACAGGCTGATTGGCGTAAGGTGAGCCTCAGAGTCATGCACTGCTGTGTTAGTGGTATCCTGGCTGTTAAGCACATTTTCAAGGAAAGGTGCATTACAGAACCCTTTGGTAGCACCAATATTTCATGGTCAATTGCCCCATGGGTCTAATGAGATCTTCTTGCCTCATTGTGAAGGCTAGGATCTAACTGAAGGATTCTTAAAGGTGGGTGCCATTTATTTTGCAGAGCAGATTACACATGTATTTCAGCTGGGTTTTGAAGTAGAAGCTATAGAGAAGGAAAATGTTTAGGTCTTTGCTTGATTGGTTTTTTTTTTTTTTTTCTCATGTCAGACGGGTAATGTGCCCACGTCGTAACAAGGTTTGAGGGAGGCACATCTCATGCATTGTAAGACATGAACACCCAATCATCACGCTTATGAACCGAAGGATCTTGATTGGGTTTTGCATACCACCAGTTTTACATGCTTACTAGGCGAAAAGACCTAAGGACTGAGAAATTTTGATCAGGCTGATGAGTGAGACCTGTTGAAGTAGGATTCTGAGCTCAGAGAGAATCACAGTTGCGGAATGGCCAGATAGGTCAGCGGACTAAAGTGCTTGCTTAGGCAGAGCACAGTGGCTGGGGTGCTGGCTGTGCTGGGCCCGCCCCCAGGGTGCACTGAGAGGGAGATTGAGACTGGGCATGGTGGTGTGCACCTGTAATCCCAGCGTTTGGAAAGCTGAAAACAGGAGAATCACTATGAGTCTGATCTACATAGTGAGACCCTGTACTAAATACATTAAAAAAAGAAAAAGAAATAAAATCACAGTTACTTCTGCCAGAGCTTAGAAATCACCTTCCTGGGAGGGGACCTTCACAAGGGCTGGAGCACCTAAGGCTCTAAAGCCTTGTTTACTGAAATTATTAAGCCCCACGACCCAGAGAAGACCAAGGGAAAACATCCTGAACCTCTTAAATGTACTTAAGCAGGGAGGAGTTTCCAGAGCAGGGCCTGCACAGTGTTCCCCTGTGGGGAGGCTGGTGTCATTCTGCGGTCTTGGCATCTCTGGGCCCTCCCCTTGGCCAGTGCCTTAGCCCACATATTCATTGGTACACCTTTCATGTAAGGTCTCTGATGTCCTTTCAGTTTTTCTTGCTCACAGTAGCCAGGGCCATCTTCCTAAAACACAGTTTGGCCCAGCTCCTCCTCTTTGAATTTCTCAAGTAGCTTCTCACTATTTTTGCTATGAACACTTTTGGAAATTGGTCTGAGCCAGTCTTCAGCTACTTTTCCCATTTCTCGCCAACCAGAACTGTACTGATTAGAGCAATTTCTCACCCATTTTTTTCATACTTAGAGAGATTCTGGTTGCTCTGCTGTTCTGCCTCCCAATAATGCTTCTGCCATTCTCTTAGAGAACAACTACTTATCCTTTGAAATTTAATTGCTAATCACTTTCTGACACCCTACCCCATTCCTCTTGACCCTTTCTGATTCTCTCTTTATTCATTTGATTGTTTTTTTCTGTTTGTCTAGATTTGTGTCTTAATTCCTCAGAGTGAGTTTTCTTGACTTCAGGCTGTGTGAGGTTTAGCTCTTGGTGAGCTAAGTGTTGGCTGTTGACTGATCAGATACTGTGTTCTTTCCCTTGTTCTAGGTCTGGAATGAGATTTCACAGACCAAGGAACTGTGGAGGTGAGTAAAGGAAGATTAAAAGACATAGCTGGCATGTTGGTACATGTTTGTAGTCCCAGAACTCTCTGAAAGGCTGAGGAAGGAAGATATCAAGTTTGGGCCCAGCCAGGTAACTTAGACCTTATCTCAAAAAAGGAAAGGAAGAAAAAAAAGAAATTAGGTATGTATGAGTAGGGTGCACTGGATAAAACTGAGCACTCAGCATTTCTGGCTCTCTTGAGTTCAAAGAAAGAAATATTCCTGGCATGCATCATTTGGAAACTCTAGTAAGGGGCAGGAGACTGTCAGGTGGGATATTGATAGAAGGTAGAATTACCACTGTCTGGGGCAGAAGTAGACAGCAAATGAAGGCACCTGGCTGACAAGACAAACCCAGAGAAATATGATCTAATTATTTTTAATCCAGCTTTGGTATAACAGCATAGCAATATGAATATGTATGATATAGCTCACAGAACAGAAAAAAACATTTTTGGATAAAGAAAATGTATTTGTATAAAATGAAGTATTACCTTGCCACAAAGCAGGGTAAGTTTCAGTCATTTGTGGGGAAATAGGTGCACCTTGAGACCATGATGTTAAGTGAAATCAGATATGCAAGCTTAAATACTGCCTGGTTTCTCTTATATGAGAAACCTAGAGTATAAATAATTTAAAGAGCAAAATAAAAGATAATAGGAAGCAGGGAGGTAGATCTTATGTACATGGAAAGGGGATCTACATGTGGAAGGGAAGGGCAAATAAAATTAAGGTATATGATGTATGTGGAATAAGGATTTTTTTTTTTTTTTTTGCTCCGAATGCCTTCAGGGCAGGTTTGGCTGGCTTGAGTTGGGATCGAACCACAGCAACCTGAGCCTGACTGCTTTGTTGAAGCAGCCACTTAAAGAACTGAGCTAAGGGGCAGGCCCCCAATATATTGTGTACATATACCAACTCCTACATTGCATATAATCATTAAGTACTATAAATGCTAATGAAAAAGTTTCTTAAAAAGAAAAGACAACACATAATCATTAAAGTACTAAATTTTTCTAATTCATTCCTCCTTTGGAACATGACGTCTTTTATTTTGTACCAGTAATTAACTGTCAGAAGCTAAAAAAATGAAAAAAGGGAAAATAAACCTGCCAGAACTCTTTATCTCCTGGTGAATACAGTACAGCCTCGACTATCAAGAAATTATTATAATTAATTGTAGTCACTCATGGTGGGAAACACCTGTTCCCACATGAAGGTTCTACAAAACACGGAGGAATGTTTATATTTAGGGTAATTATACCTTGAGATATGTGAGATTTCAGAAATGCCAACCTTCCATATGTAGTTTGCAATGTTACATAACACTGTTCTGTTTCTTATTTTTTATTATTGATATTAGAGAAATAGTCTCTTTAGTTTGAAGTAAGAGAACTTTCACTAGAATTTTTTTTTTAATTTTTTTAATTATTTGTGTGTGTGTGTGTGTGTGTGTGTGTGGCCAGCTCAGCCCACCAGGGGGCGGGGCTGGCTGGCATGTGGTGCTGGGGGATTGAACCATGGTCCCTGTGCTTTGCTAAGCTTGTTCTAAGTAGGTGTTTTAGACCACTGAGCCATCTCACCAGCCCCTCACTAGAATTTAATCTTATCCCTTCAATTTAACATAACATGGTTCTAGAATTTTTTTTTGTAGATAAGTGGACAAAGTTATGTCTTGCCAAGTGTGTTTCTCAAATGTTAACCTGGGTGAGATACCAATGCAGACTAGATGCCTAGTTTATGTTCTCATCTTTACTGCTAAGCCAGGATAGGACTTTGCCCTCTGAGTGAAATATATATTTCTTTGAGAAGTTAAAAAAAACAAAACAAAACAAAACAAAAAAAAAAACCTCTTCCACACATCACGTACTCACCACAGAGTATCACATGTCATGTTTATCTCAAGATTCCTCTGTAAGCTGTTCAGCTTTCTGTAGGCTACATCACTAATGAATTTTTAGTTTGTTACTGTTCCATAATGTTTGTGCTGAACTGTTCAGTATGAAGTTATGACTTGTGACCTGCAAAATCCTCCCGTTTTAAATGTTGGAAGCCCTGGAGGCCCTCTTTGCCTATAGGCTGTCCTATATGGCTTAAGAATCTTTCCCATGGAGTCAGAGGCTCTCCACTGACTGGGTTATAGCCTGAGAAGTAGTTGCTCAGTGAATGTACAGGGTGTGATGTCAGACATAAATTTTGTTGTGCTTATTTAGAACATGGAGTGTGGGCCTTTTATTCCTCATCTGAACTCATGCTCTTACAGGAGCTAGACTGGAGCCAGAGGATGTCAGTTAGTTCTGGTGTCCCCTAAGTGCTCAAAGCCTGAATCTTGACAGGACCCCCAGACCTTTCCACGCAAGTGCCACTTACTTTGAGCACCACTCCCATAGAACATGCTGCTCTGTTCTGGAACTTAGTGACTTGAAGCCAGTGGAAGTAATAAAAAGGGCCAGTAAAGTATAGGACTATATATGAGTAATGTAATATTTGTAACTTTCCCCCCATCAGTTTTATTATCTTATTTTTTTGTATTTTTAGGGAAGGGTCTACAGGGTGTTCGGGTCCCACTACTAGATCGATCAGATTTGTAGTGATTCTGCGGTTTATAGCCTCCCAGGTACTGGAATTACAGGTGCGTGTCACCATGTCCAGCCTCAATTGCCCAGTCTCAATTGCCGTCTCAGTGTACCGTGGAGGTGGGGCTGGCAGGGCCCCCTATCAGTTTTTTTTTTTTTTTTGTGGAACCAGGGATTGAACTCAGGCCCTTGCACTTGCCAGGGAAACGCTTATTCCACTGAGCCATCTCCCCGGTCGCCCCCCATCAGTTTTAAGAGACAACTGCTTAAAGTACTATGAATCTCTTACTAGGCATTGAATTTATAAAGATGTAACTATGACAGTACTACTTTGATCACATCCATCCCTCTTGTCCTGAGGATGAAGGAAAAATGAAGCCAAAAGGAAAGCAGTGAGGAAAGGACCTGATAAAGTTTATTAGAACAAAAGGAAAGTTCTTGTTAGTTGGCAGTGGGCCCCAAGGGAGGATATCATTGAGGCATCCAAATTTGAGTTTTATATGTAGTCTTTGCACAGGAAAAGGAAGGTATGCAACTGTCCCTGTTTACTAGGCTTGTCTTCAGCAGATTTATTGGTCCTTTGCCACTGGGACACTGGTTAGGCTTTTTTTCCTTCCATTCCAATTTTTCCAAGGCTTATCTCACATGCCTGTGGTTTACTCAGTTCACCCAAGCCCTTGCCTGTCCCTCTGTCTCCTGGTGTTAGTATGACAAAGTCAGGGAAGAAGTGGACCTATGTAGGGCCAAATGTGCCATATACTTGTGAAAGTAAATTGGTATTGATCCAAGCTGTTTTTTTTTTTTTTTTTTTTTTGGCAGAACCAGGGATTGAACTCAGGCCCTTGCACTTGCCAGGGAAGTGCTTATTCCACTGAGCCATCTCCCCAGCCCAACCGAGCTGTATTTTTAAAGTTCAGATTTAAATTGTAATCTCCAGGGCCAGGGAGATGGCTCAGTGGAATAAGTGCTTCCCTGGCAAGCACAAGGGCCTGAGTTCAATCCCCGGTTCTGCAAAAAAAAAAAAAAAAAAAAAAATTGTAATCTCCAAGACAACCACTAAAAAGTAACTCAAAAATATGGTATGTTGACCAGGGAGTTAAAATAGTATACTAGAAATGTGATAAATTAGCAGTAATAAGTATGTTAGGTTTAATAGCTATAGCCTGAGCTTTTCACAATATCTTCATCTTATTCAAAATGGCAATAATTTAAAAAGAAAACCGTATTTAACACAAAAGAGGACAATCTTGGAAAAACAGGGGAAAGGGGTGCAAGATCTAAAAAATGAATAGTAAAATGATGTACATATATTTTATCTTAGCAGTAATTACATTAAATCATACTCAAAAAAGGCAAAAGCCCACAGAATTAGTGAAATCGACCAATTTCATGCTGTCTACATCCTTTATTTTGTTCTGCAGCACTGTACCTCAAATGCAGGACGTCACGCATGCTTTTTTTTTCAGAAGCAAAGCAAGCAAGTGCTCCGTCACTGGAATACTTTATCTCTGGGATCTACTTTAGACCCAGACACAGATAGGATGATAAAAGAATGGAGAAGGATACTCCAAGTGACTCGCAACCAAAAGAGTGCTGAATGGCTATCCTACTAGCAGACTAAAATAGACAATGATGAAAACTATTACTAGAAACAAAGAAGGTTGTAATGATAAATAGATCCGTCAAGAAGATACAATGGTTGCGTGTGCCCCAGTAACAACAACAAATGTGGAAGGCTGATGGAATTGAAGGGAGAAGTAGATAATTCAACAATAAGAGTTGGCTTTTGAAAAAAAAAAAAAAAACCCAGCATTTGAATCCCACTGTTTAATCTCTCTCTTTTTGACCTCATGCTTAGAATGGGCACTTCTACTTTATAAAGTTGTTATGAAGGTCAGTTGGATATGTAAGAGAGTAGTACTCATTCAATGTCAATCATTTTCCTCATTTTGCAGGAGAGGAAGTGGAAACCTAGATAGATAGGCAACAGGAGTTGTCCAAGGTTTGAAATTCAATAAATGCCATAGGTAGGATCCAAAGCTAGACCGACCTCTTAGTTCCATAACAGCTATGTTGTGCTAGAAGTGAGGTTCTCTTTTTTTTAGGCATCTGTGTGTGAGTCGCTGGTCCTCCTGCAAAGCCTCCCGGATGGTCCTGGGCACACAAACGTGGAAACAGTACTATCTCTGCCGGTCTGAGCTGGAGTTCCGAGTGGCATCTGGGCGGCCTGGGAAGGACTTCATCTGCAAAGCGATTGCTGGGCACACAGGTACCAGGAAGGACTGTGTTAGCTCTGCCTACTCTCACTGCTCATGCTCTTCCTGGCTGAGTCCTGTAGGATCTGGCATTTGGCCCGTGACTTGGAAGTGCTACTTGCTGAGTACATATCTGAGCGATTCTGGGTTGTTATGTGAGCCACACAATACCCTGTGAAGAAGGGACCATTTATGTTTCAGACTGTACAAACAGGATCTAAGAGTCAAGAGCCATTCACATAGAACCCAGTTATAATTTGAAAGTTCCAGTTCTTTCCCATTTTGTTTTCCCGAGTAAGCGCTCATCGTGTTCTTGAACTAGACAAAGAATAGTGATTTTTCTAGCAACCCTCTTCACCAGTTGAGTGTTAAGATTGCAGACCATCTATGTCTTCCCTCTCACAGGATATATAGAGCGGCTAGCCTATATCTCAACCAATGAGTACCGGTTTGATGGAGGGGAGAAGTCTGTGATTTGCACTGTGTCCTCAGACTGCACTGTGCGTGCCTGGGATTTGCATGAGGTGAGCTGGCCGTTAGAAGGGGAAAGTGATGGTGAGCTTGACTGAATACTTACTTTGCACTTGTGCTTACCCAGTTAGGTAGGGAGTGGGGGTTCCTTATTGTAAATGGGAAATCTAAACTGGGAAGAGACCCAGTCACCAGATGATGTCTGGATGAACATGTGTTTGGCATTTTAATGCAACCAGTCATAACAGAACAGTGTGCTGGCTTTCTCCTGAGCTGCCTCAAGGAGACACACTTCACAGCTTTGCACAGAGTGGCAGTTGTTCTGCAGTTCTTTGTCCGTCATTGCAGTCATCGAGGGTTTGTGGGTTAGCTCAGTTGTTTAAAGTGCTTGCTTGGGGCCAGGGAGATAGCTCAGTGGAATAAGCGCTTCCCTGGCAAGCGCAAGGGTCTGAGTTCAATCCCTGGTTCTGCAAAAAAAATAAATAAATAAATAAATAAATAAATAAAGTGCTTGCTTGGGCAAACTCATTCAGGCACAGGGATTGGTTCGATCTCCAGCTCCAAAGCTGCACCAGACCTTAAGGCAGACTGAGCTAGCCCCCCCGCCCCCCCAAAAAGAGCCTCCATTGCAGGCAACACTGGGCTTTGACCAGAAACTACCCAGTCATGTGATTCCACATTGACATGGATGCTGGCCCTGACAGTTTTACTGGGATAATAACAGCTGTGGGGCTGGCAAGATAGCTCAGTGGACTAAGTGCCTGCTTAGGCAAGCACAGGGAGTGGGGTTTGATCCCCGGCACCACATGACATGCGAGCCCCACCCCTGGGCATGCTGAGCCCACCACCAAGACTGGGTGTGATGGCGCACGCCTGTAATCCCAGCACTGAAGAGGCTGAAACAGGAGGATCATTACTGTCCAAACTGTAGTGAGACCCTCTACCAAATACATTCATGAGTAAATAACAGCTGTGTTCACCCATTTGTGCAAACCTGGATAACTTGAGTGATTTTCTAATCATTTTGTTATCACCTATACTGACAGTTTTAGTTTTCATATGTATTATTTCACTCCAGCAACCAAACTGGGTATTCATTATCATTATCCTAACTTTATAAAAATATAAGCTGAGACTGAAGAAGGGAATGTATCTCAGAAACTTGACATGTGGTCTACAAATCCAGAAGTTCTGCCTGGAGCCATACACAGATGGAGCCCAATCTCCTATAAGGACTATTTTTTCTAGGGGCTGGGAATATAGCTCAGCAGCACAGTGCCTGCCTGGCAAGCACAAGGTCCTGAGTTCAATTTCTGGTACTCCACCCTCCCCCGAAAAAAATTTTTCCCTGGAAATTATATTACTTCACACTTTTTGATGCCTTCAACAAGCAGACACCTTTAATGTCTTATTTCTATTTTTGTGGCATTGCTTAGACCTTAGAGCTATTAGGCAAGTGCTCTGCCACTGAGTTAATGCCCCCAAACCTGGTTACCAGACAAGGTAACCTTACTTTGTTATATAAATAATCTCTGGGTACGTGTGTGCTCATCTTGATACAGGGAGAAAAACTGATCTTGGGTGGATGACCTCCGAATGATACAGGGAACATCAAAGTGATATAGGGGAAAAATGATCTCCCGACCTGACCTGGACGAGTTCATGTTCTCTAAAATCGGAGAATGAATTTTAGGGACAAACGGAGGTTATGAGCAGAATATATTTATTGAGAGAAAGAAAGCTCCTGTCCGAGAGGACAGGAGGGGGGCCCGAGTGAGTTGTCCCCAGGAAGCTGTCTCTTCCAGGGACTTTTATAGTGTAAAACCATGGGGGCTAAGGTGGAGAGAATGGGAACTCGCTTAGGTGGATGTGGGGTGGGACAAAACTATGGTCAACCAATGGGATTATAAGCACCATTGCTCAGGTAAAATTGATTAAGTCCAAGACCAAATGGGGAAGCAATTCACATAGCAAGCAGGCATGAATGTAGAATAGGACTCTTATCAGGTAGCCATCCAGTAGCAGTAGTAGGATTAATGATTCTTCTGGCCGCCTCAGGGTGATGATCAGTCTTGGATGCCTATCTTTAGGGAGGTCAGCATTTGTTTGATCTTTGATCTTTAGGTCTGACCCACAGCAGGAGTATTGTCCCTCCCACAGTTGTAAGGTATCTTGTCTTCTATGTTATCTCCTTCAAGGGCCTAACCCTGTCTGACTGCCTGTAATATTTCTATCTAACTTGGCTGCCTGCAACAATCTCACTGTTCATTCGGTTTTCTGGCAGTGTCTCTTCCCTCTAGCAGGTGATAAGTTCTTTCCCAGTGAACATAGCACACAGAGACACAGCAGGTGAGTGAGGGACCACTGACTAGGACAGCTGAGTGTTTCAGAGACCTGCTGTGCTCAGGGTTCAGCTCCATCTTGACTCTCCATAGAGTCATCTCTCAGAGACCAGCCTGCAGTTTGTAGACCTGTGTCCACAGCAAGACCTGTGTCCACTTGCCACAGCAAGTGGCTTTAGGGCCACTTGGGAAGCAAGAAGCCTTGAGAGCTAGCGCCTCCCACAGTTGCCACAGCAGACATGTCTTCATGTGAGAGAGAGGTACTTTGGGGGTGGGCAGCAAGCTTTTTCTATAAAAGTGCGAGTTAGTAAATACTGTAGGCTTTTCAGCCCTGATAGTCTGTCACAACTATTTTAACTACTGCGACACAAGAGCAGCCACATACAATATCTAAGCAAATTGAGTGATCATATTCCAATAAGTATGAGTACTGGAATGTGAATTTTGCATAATTTTCATGTGTAAAATTTTTTCAAAAATAAAAAACTGCATGGAGGAACGTTATAGACAAGAAGTAGTCAGTGGGCTAGGTTTGGCAATGGGCCATAGTTTGCCAACACCTACTTTAGTGTGTTCCTTATTTCCAGTGTGGAGCATCAGTGTGGAGTGTCAGAGGTCCTACTTACCTTTCTGCTTGGCTTCCTAGCTTTAATATTTTTCCTGAGCAAACCTTCAATCTTATTTTCTTTTTTAAAAATTCAGATAGGGGCCGGGGAGATAGCTCAGAATAAGTGCTTGCCTGGCAAATGCAAGGGCCTGAGTTCAATCCCTGTTTCCACCAAAAAAAAAAAAAAAAAAAAAAAAAAAATTTAGCTGTAGAGTTGGTGTTGTGGTTGAATATTTTTGTGCCTTCCAAAGTTTATGTTAAACTTAATCCTCAGGGCAACAGGCTTGGAAGGCATACTGTTTGAGAGTTGATTCGGGAGGTTTCTGCCCTCCTGTGTGGGGTAAGGTACCCAAGTGAAAGAGATTGCACATGCTTATAACCCCCCGGCACTTTTGGAGCCTGAGGGCTGAGGGTCGTAAATCCAAGCCTAGTGTGGGCAATTTAGCACTTTAGCAAAATCTTATCTCAAAATTAAAAATAAAAAAGAACTGGGGATATATATAGCTCAGTGTGTAGGGCCTAGGTTTAATCTCTGGGATTGAGAAACAAGGAGTGGAGGACTGATACTTGGAATTCCTGCTCTGATCTTTCAGTCTTCCACATGTAAACTTCATCCTTCTGGAGACTCCCCAGACATCCACACCTGCTAGTGCTTGAATTCAGATTTCCTACCCGGAGGAAATAAATTTCTATTCTTTGGGAACGGTCTTAGGCATTTTGTTATAGCAGCATAAATGAACTAAAACAATTGGAATTACAGTGTGTAGCCGTTTCAGATTGGCTTTGATATGGCAAAATGCACTTAAAGTTTCTCCATGTTTCTAATTTTGTTTGGTTGTATTGTGTTTTGTTTCATTTTTTGTATTTTAGGGACGGGTCTACAGTGTGTTCAGGGTCTCACTACTACTAGATCAGACTCGTACTGATCTGCCTGTTTACAGCCTCCCAAGAGCTGGGATTACAGGCATGCGCCACCA